TTGTCTTCAGAAATGGTGGTTACATCTAGATTTATTTGTGTGAGACATTATCAATACCGGCAAGAAAGGCAGCGTTTCTTGTGTATTCACTCCTTAAAAGATATCAGTCATTACCATTTCACGCTGTTGAGACTATCTTTGATACGGAGAGAGATCCTCTTTTATTGTATTGTTCCTGGGGTTTCGAATAGTTGTCGAAAGAGTTAAAAGCTCGTTTTTCAAACGTTATTTATATGTATCTGAAACAGTTTCAAATACGACTGTGTTTGAAGGGGTTGGACAGGCATTATATGTATGTAAACAAGTGTACACGTTGCTATGAATGGATCGAAAACGATATCCACGCGCGCGTTATGCTGAAATGCTGAAAGTATTTGACGACGATGGTGAAATAACTTGGGTATCCAAAATCAGAATGCTGTTCTTTCAGACAGGGTACTCCTATGTTTGGATTGCTCAACATTGTGGAAAAGTATACCTTTTTATTCATCAATTTGTAAAACGATGTAAAAATATACAGTTCTGGACTTGGCTCGACAAATTTACTAACTCACCTTGTCTCAATACGTGCTCCTGTTACAAAACAATTCTTCAGTCTGAACAATATGTATCACATCTTACAGGTAGAAGGGACCTTGTCCGAATAACATGTAAATTTCATTGCTTGTCAGACAATTTAAAAAAATCAGCAATGTCCCTCAGTGGATATTAATGCACTCATTTTTATGAAGGGGCAATTTGCAGCTTATAAAAGATGAATATCACTTCCTTCTTGTTTGTCCTTTTAATGCAGTTAACCACAAAAAGTTGATTAAAACATTCTTCTCTATCTATGTAGCGGCAATAAAATTTCCGAGTACCGTGATGGGATTCGAACCAAGGACCTTCTGGTCAGAAGTCGGACGCCTTGTCCATATGACCAAAGAGGTTAACCCCGTCAGCAAGCTGACGAGGTAAGGATGTCATCTGTGGGATGACTCCACGCCCTGCTACATCTACCTCACGAAAGATAAATGTCAGTTAATATCTTCGCAAGATGTCAAACATATTGAATGGTTGCGAATGTATTTAAAAAGAAACCTACCTATCTAGAAACACATGTATATAAATGATATTGCTACGTTCTATTTAAAATGATGTTGCTGGGCACATCGCTATTTGTCACATTGCATTTAGTACCATGGGCCACGAGGCCGGAAATTCCAATTTAAAATAAAATTTGTCATTTGTCACTTGACTGCAGAACGGCAAGTGTACTAATCCTATAGTCTTCAGTGTTAGTGTCCCCTCAATTTATGATTGATTAGACATTCCACAGCGTGGGACATTTGATATATGAGGTACTTTTCACGTTACTGTTATTGAAGTCAAATTCGCAACACCATGCAATATACATGTATTTTGCGTTAACTAATCCACATGTATTCCCCAATCATTATCTAGAAGTCTCCTTATTTACAGAATTGGAATGGGGCACGGGTGGCCCAGTCGTCTAAGGCGCCGCGATTCGCTGTGCAAAGTTGCGTCCCTTGGGCACGCCAGAAACCTATGATTGTGGGTTCGAATCCCGGTTCGCCCCGATTATGTTTCTAGGTTTCACCGAAGTGGTAAACGTCTGAGACCTGCATCATTTCGGGCTTTCCTCCAACATTAAGCTGACACGCCGTGATATAACTGGAATAGTGTTAAAAGCGGCGTTAAACCCAACTCATTCATTCACTCACTACAGAACTGGAGGCCACGGGAACAAAATTACAATAAAAATTAATACGCAATATGTGTATTACGTTTCAACAACAAGGATCATAAAGTAGAAGTTTTTATTGACGTTAGTTTGTTTTTAAGGGGAATACCTTTATGTTGTTATAGTACTGAACACATCAGTTCAGTGAGCTTTGGTGGGTAAGGGCAGTTGTGGTGATAATTTGGGATAAGCCTCGTTCTACACTCTGCGACTGATACTCATCTTTCTTACCAAATGATCACAGTTTGACATTTTAAAATATTTTTGTCTTCATCTACTTTACCATTACGCATTTTCGTACTTTTGGATTATAGGCAGGAATACGAAATTTTGTTAAATATGAACCAAATCTGTTCCTACCAAAGGTGATGTAAGATACAATACTGGAGCAAGCATGCACTTAGAGGAATTATTAAGAGACAGAAATAATGAAGTATCCATTTTCTTATCCAACTGTTTCATATTGATACACTCTCGGACACTCCAAACATTGGCATGGACGGTCTGAAACAACATAGTTCTAACATGAAAAACCCAATATGTACGGCCGTGATCATCATATGATGTAAACCTCATGTAACAAACGTGGGAATACCTTTGTGGGTGCAACTGAATCATTGTCCAGAGACTGACCGCAACTGAAGCCACGTCATACAAACTTTCCATGAGTTTCACTCGCCTCTAGTTATATAACAAGCATAAACAGTAACGTAACATACAACCCTGCCAAATACCACTAGAAGTTGTAAAAATAGCTGTTCTGCACACTTGCACGTGCATTTTAACAATGCTTTGTATTAAATGAAACATTTATACATGAAGGCCTTTGTAACAAAATATATTTGAGATTCTGTCCATCAACTTAGTCAAAAGCATATTTAAAATCCTCGAAGGCAGTATAAAAGGTGTTTTTGTAAGTACTTATGACAGGGGGAATATAGCACAAAAATAGTGTCTGTTGTTAAGTGATTTTCTCCGAAGCCTGTTTGAGATTCTGATAACATCTCGTTCAATTGAGTCAATATTCTTAATCTTTTTTCAACAATAGATATAAATATTTTCCCTATAACGTTTAATAGATATATACCCCTATAATTATTCGGAATTGTGGTGTCGCCAGATTTGTATATGGGTATAATTAAACCAATGTTTGACCATTCATCCCGGATGATTTGCCAGATTTGAGATTTGAAAGAGCTTTGCGAAATTCACTGTCTGTCATCTATCTGACTGCATATCCACTATTACATTGATCACACTTCAACAATTGTGATTACGGACTTTTCCAAAATGTCTTAAGTAAGAGCCGAGCTGACGTTGTCAATAGCATTTGGGTTAAATAATTCTTTGTTTCCTAAAATGTCTTTTGGATCCAATGTAAAGATTAAGAATTTGAACATTCCCTGATTTCAGAAGGAGATGTGAGCATATATATTTGAACCAATTTAATTCTCTGCATTCTTTGTCAACATATGGGTTATTTCTTTGAAAATGCGTTATCATGTCTTGTTTTCATAGGTCTTTCAAAATGCAATCCAGCAAAATGGAATAACTTCGTTAATTTCTCCTCGCTATCAAGCCATGCGTTGCCACTACTTGATATTACACAACTTTGAATGTTTTATTGACCGTCTGTACTATCATGCCTATGTATTGGCACTATTTAACACTAGTCATCTTTGTATCTGTTATTGACCAACTTCACTTCAAGCCTATGTATTTTGTAATGTTTAATACTACTCAACGTTGAATGTGCTACTGATCAACGGCACTATCAAGCTATTTATTTTCACTATTTAACTTCCCAACGTTGTACGTGTTAACTGTGACTAACTGTACTATCAAGGCTGTGTGTTTGGACTTTAAACGGAAGTAAAAAAGTGAACTTTATACTTTATTTGTCTAGCGCAAACAAGTGACATATTTAACATACTAACGCCTAAGAGATCTCCATTATATGTTCTTATTATTTCCTTTTCGCTCACTAAAGTGATTTGTAATGGCTATCTGCGTTGCTAAAAAATTGTTGAATCCAGTTTCAACTAATGCGAAATTTAGTGTGACGCTTCAAAGACTGCTCGACCACGCCCCCCGGGTGTGTGACAGATGTAGGCCCATCATGGCGGAGTACAGGTTGATGTGCCTTCCGTGTTCCCCGAGCCAAGTGGCGGATGAACCTACAACCATGTTATCATTTACCCCAATTTGAAATTAACGGAGATTAAGACCGATTTTGTTTGTGGCCATGATTGACGTCAATATTAATATACGATATACACTATATGCGACGGCGGGGTGTCCGTATTCCAGTTGCACACTTAAATATAAAACTGTAAAAATGAGGAAGAGGGGTTGAAAACCTTTTAAATACAAGATATGTTTCACATTTTCTGTAATAATTTTGTTTCAAAACAAGGGGAGTCATTTGGGCCCAGTAGGGAAGTTAGCTGAGTCTAGAGGGAGAGTTGTTATCCTGGCAAGGGGAGTCATGTGAGCCTAGAGGGAGAGTTGTTATCCTGGCAAGGGGAGTCATGTGAGCCTAGAGGGAGAGTTGTTATCCTGGCAAGGGGAGTCATGTGAGCCTAGAGGGAGAGTTGTTATCCTGGCAAGGGGACTCATGTGAGCCTAGAGGGAGAGTTGTTATCCTGGCAAGAGGAGTCATGTGAGCCTAGAGGGAGAGTTGTTATCCTGGCAAGGGGAGTCATGTGAGCCTAGAGGGAGAGTTGTTATCCTGGCAAGAGGAGTCATGTGAGCCTAGAGGGAGAGTTGCTATCCTGGCAAGGGCAGTCATGTGAGCCTAGAGGGAGAGTTGTTATCCTGGCAAGGGGAGTCATGTGAGCCTAGAGGGAGAGTTGTTATCCTGGCAAGGAGAGTCATGTGAGCCTAGAGGGAGAGTTGTTATCCTGGCAAGGGGAGTCATGTGAGCCTAGAGGGAGAGTTGTTATCCTGGCAAGGGGAGTCATGTGAGCCTAGTCACTAGAGTCAAGTTCAGGGGGAGTCGTTTGAGCCTACTACACCGGTTTAAGGACATTTATCAATCATCATATCAAGCATCATTTGCACAATACAATTCAAGTAATTTTACATGCAAGGTAAGGTTATGATGTCGTAAGGGCGATACATATTATAATAAACAGTCGCAATCTAAATTGTACCAAAACAATTCTGGTGTCTGAGCGGAATACAGTCAATGGTAATTCGTTTTACACAATACTGCAGTTAGGAAAGTTAGATATTAGGTTAGGTGTCTACTCACCTCGATAGTGTCTGGATCTCAAACAATCTGCCAGAAACATTGTCCTTGCAGCAATGGAGATGGAGCCTATCTGTAACACTGGAGCCTCTACGTTGTTCTGTAATTGGTCTCCCTGACTGGAGTCTTTCTGTAGTAAGGTAGCTGGCCGCTTGTACCTTTTCGGGTATCTAGCAGTAGAGCCTTCCTGTAACAGTGGAGTCGATCTCAAGTCTTGGAGCCTGTCTGTATTAGGAGTTGCGTCCTCAATCTATGAAGAGACGCCCTACTTCACCAGTAGCTAGCAACACACTAGATGCTGAACATTTGACGGCCAACACCCTCACAGACTACAAAGCTCAATACGCGGGTTTGTTATCTTGTCGGTCTGTAGTTCAGATGTCGATGTGGGTGTTCAGGTGTGGGTGTATGTGTTCAGATGTGGGTGTGTGTGTTCAGATGTGGGTGTGTATGTTCAGATGTCGGTGTATGTGTTCAGGTATCAGTCTGTGAGTTAAGATGTCAGTGTATGTGTTCAGATGTCGGTGTGTGCATTCAGATGTTGATTTGTGTGTTCAGATGTGGGTGTGTGAGTTCACATTTTGATGTGTGTTCAGATGTCAATGTGTATTTTCAGAGGTCGGTGTGTTCGTTTAGATGTTAATCTATATGATCAGAGGTCGGTGTGTGTGTGTGTGTTTTCAGATGTCGGTGTGTGTGTTCAGATGTGGGTGTGTATGTTCTGAAATGGGTGTGTGCGTTCAGATGTTGGTATGTCTGTTCAGATATCAAGTGTATGTTCAGAGGTCGATGTGGGTGTTCAGGTGTGGGTGTATGTGTTCAGATGTGGGTGTGTGTGTTCAGATGTGGGTGTGTGTGTTCAGATGTGGGTGTGTGTGTTCAGATGTGGGTGTATGTGTTCAGATGTGGGTGTGTGTGTTCAGATGTGGGTGTGTGTGTTCAGATGTGGGTGTGTATGTTCAGAGGTCGATGTGTGTATTCAGAGGTCGGTGTGTGTTCAGAGGTCGGTGTGTGTATTCAGAGGTCGGTGTGTGTTCAGAGGTCAGTGTGTGTATTCAGAGGTCGGTGTGTGTTCAGAGGTCGGTGTGTGTTCAGAGGTCGGTGTGTGTATTCAGAGGTCGGTGTATGTTCAGAGGTCGGTGTGTGTATTCAGAGGTCGGTGTGTGTTAAGAGGTCGGTGTGTATTCAGAGGTCGGTGTGTGTTCAGAGGTCGGTGTATGTTCAGAGGTCGGTGTGTGTATTCAGAGGTCGGTGTGTGTATTCAGAGGTCGGTGTGTGTTCAGAGGTCTGGGTGTGTTTAGATGTCAATGCGTGTGTTCAGATGTCGGTGTGTAATTGAGATGTTTGTTTGTTTGTTGTTTAACGCCGCACTCAGCAATATTCCAGCCATATGACGGCGGTTTGTAAATAATCTAGTCTGCACCAGGCCATCCAGTGATTGACAATATGAGCACTGATCCACGCAATTGGGATCGATGACATGCATCAACCAAGTCAGAGAGCATGTCCACCCGATCCCGTTAGTCGCTTCTTACGACAAGCAGAGTCGCCTCTTACGGCAAGCATGGGTTGCTGAAGACCTAATCTACCCCGGATCTTCACGGGCCGTATGTTGAGATGTTAATCTTGTGTTTGTGTTCAGATGTCAGTGTGTGCGTGAGTGTGTGCGTGCGTGCGTGCGTGCGTGCGTGCGTGCGTGTGTGTTCAGAGGTCGGTGTTTATGCTTAGATGTCAGTCTGTGTGTTCAGATGTTGATGTGTATGTTCAGATGTCAATGTGTGTGTATTCAGAGGTCGGTGTGTATGTTGAGATGTCAGTGTGTGTTCAGATGTCAATGCGTGTCTTCAGATGTTGATGCGTATGTTCAGATGTCAGTGTGTGTGTTCAGATGTCAATGCGTGTCTTCAGATGTTGATGCGTATGTTCAGATGTCAGTGTGTGTGTTCAGATGTCAATGTGTGTGTATTCAGATGTCAATGTGTGTGTGTGTATGTTCATATGTTGATGTGTATGTTCACATATCAGTGTGTGTTCAGATGTCAATGTGTGTGTGTGTGTGTGTGCGCGCGTGGTGTGAGTGCGTGGTGTGAGTGAGTGTGTGTGCGTGCACTTTCATTCAGTCGGGGTTATGTCTCCTGGGCAGTGCTGGTGCTGGATATATAATTAGTGTGCGATTCAATTGTTGTGGTATTAATTCAATTGTTGGTGCCTGTGTTCAGTTGCCTGGATGCAGCTGTTCAAGCACTGGATCAAGCTGGCGCAGGGATATAATTTCCTCTCCATCTGAGCCACTTTATAATAATACAAAAGCACGTATTAGTTCGTCTCTTGTTCTTACACAGCACAAGTGGGTTATTGTTATTACTAATCAAACAAATAGGCCTCCAGTTTATGTGAATTGTGAGACAAAGAGATGTACATTAGGACGGTACACAGGGAACGACTCGTTTCAATAACAATACCCTGTCCAGCTGGAGTTATTGAACACTGAGTAGCTAACTCGAGTGATATTAAATTGATGTACATCTACTCAATAAAGAGAGTATCTATGACCACATGTAGTACACACACACCCCCCCCCCCCCCCCATCTCTCTCTCTCGTCAAGGAAGAACGTTACAGCGACGTTACGTTACTCACCATCGTCAGTTTGGGGCTTAAAGTGTAATGGTATGGGTGGCATCACAACACATGGCTTGCGGTATCGTTCAAGGTCATGCTCGGTCCATTGTTGAAATGCAAGGACCTAGCAGCAGTATAATACCTACTAACATATTGCACGTGTTGTAACATACCTTTTTGAGGCAGCATAAGATTGCTGTACTGCAATGATCGGCTGCTTCGCCATATATGTCCCCCATAGAACATGTCTGGGATGAGATAGGTGGACGGCTACGACAGGATCAGAAACACCCATAATGCTAGCTCAGTAGGCCCAACCTTTGATTGACATTTGGAACCACATCCCCTGGGCTTTTTTCAATGGTCTGGTGTTTTCAAAGCGCCGCTGCTGCCTCGTCTGTATCAACGCAATTGGTAGTAACACCCGATATGGACATTGTCAATTGTGGTGGCACATCACCCCTATTTTATGGATCGTCGCTCTGTCTCCTATTAATAGGTTTTGGTTTTGTCAATGAATTTGTTTTGGTAAAATATCAATCAGATGAATGACCAAACATTATGTTGTCAAAAAAATATTTACACCACTTAGTATATGTATCCCATCAACGAAGAAAACTTGTAGAGAGAGGTACATGTATGGATTCGGTCTGTCGTTGGGCTCTAGTTTGAGGACATCCCACATCATCATGTTATTCTGAACGTTTTAAGCAGGAAATTGCGACCTTCATTTAAAATATGGAATATGATCAAGCCTAGAATTCGACAAATATGTCATTTGGCTCACATTACACGAACGCACGAAAAGATAAAAAAAAAAGTAAGTTTGACAACTATTTTTGTTGATTTGTTTATTACTTTATTTAATTTACTGAAAGATTTGCTTGAAAAGTCTATGTTTTGCTTTTTGACATGTTCCATATGGATTTGTTGTCGAAGCATTTGTCCCAGAATTGTTTTTTCAACAACATTGCGGGAAATAGTTAATAAATCTAAATCTATCAATAAAATATGATAAATTGAAATGAAATAAGTAGTTTTAGACATAGTGCAAAGTGATATTTTAATAAATCAATGATATGACGTAGGTTCACACAAGTAAACCTTTTGACGTGGCAACGGCCTGGCCGCATCGTGGTTGGTGTATTGGCCTGCTGAATTGAAAGCGTTAACAGCATTAAGCGTTTATATTAATGATTTGGTGTTAGACATGAATAAGTTAAACTGTGGCATACCTATTGAAAGTTCTGTGTTATCAGTTTTGTTGTATGCTGATGATATAGCCTTGTTAGCTGAAGACGAAGACTCGTTACAGAAAATGTTAAATGTTTTAAATATATGGTGTCATAAATGGCGTTTGGATATTAATTCAGACAAAACCAAAATCATGCATTTCAGAAACAAATCTGTGGCTAGATCTGAGCGAGTATTTGTATGCGGCAAATCTATTATTGATTATGAAAGCTCTTACAAATATCTTGGTTTAACTTTTAATGAGCATTTAGATATGCACAAAACAGTCCAGGTACTGTGTAAATCGGCTAGCAGAGCTCTTTCTGCGTTGTATTCAAAGTTTAAACACGCGGGTGGCATGTCTTACGAAGTATTTAACAAGCTTTATAAAGCTCTTGTAGAACCTGTTCTATTTTATGGTGCTGGCATTTGGGGTTTGAATAAGTATAAGGAAGTAGAAATAATTCAAAATAAGGCTTGTCGTTTGTTTCTAGGCGTAAGAAAAAATGCCCCAGTTACTGCTATGAGGGGGGACATGGGCTGGTGTTCTGTGAAAGTGTCACAGCACGTTGAATGCTTTAGATTATATTTTAGAATTCAGAATATGCAGGCCCATCATCTCCCTCTTATCATTCATAATTGGTCCAAAATCCGATCACAATCCTGGGATAAAAAAATCGTAAACATTTTAGCTCACTATAATTTGTCAAATTTACCTTATTGTGGATACAGCATTAAACAGTGTGTTGACCGTGTAAAGTGTTTCTTAACTGCTGAAGATTGTGATATGTGGTATACTGCGCTATGGAATGACAAGAATAATCCAAATGGCAATAAATTACGCACATACAGAATGTACAAATCATCACCTACTGCTGAGCCTTATTTATGTCATGTACGTTTTAGAGATCATCGAAGACTTTTAGCATCCTTTCGATGTGGTATTTTACCTTTACATGTTGAGACCGGCCGCTACGCCAAGCCACCTACCCCACTGTTGGATAGGACTTGTAAATATTGTCACGCCAATCCTACTAATGATCATGTAAATTATGTTGAAGATGAATGTCACTTTTTAATAGAATGTCCATTTTATGATGATTTAAGATACAACTTAGCTAAAGAAGCAACTTCTGTAGATAAAACATTTCATTATATGAGTAGTTTAGAAAAGTTTATTTTTATTATGAACGAAGAATCGCTCCAATGTATTTTAGCCAAATCAATTTACAACATGGTTAAAAGAAGGCAATTTCATTTTAAGCCAAGTATGTATGTATGACTTGTATGTATGTATGTATGTATGTATGTATGTATGTATGTATGTATGACGTGGTGTGTGGGCGGCGCAACGCTGTGGGGGGAGTTAAGGGGGAGCGCACTGTTTAACTAAGGACTTTCGAAGTCAGTTGCCCTGTATCCTGGCATACTGGTGCGCTCTTCACTGAAACCGCCCACGGCCGTGCTCCGCGCCTGCATCACGAGGTATGTATGTTTTATTCTGTTTCAACTGAATAGTTTTATGATTGATATGTTTTATAGTGTCTCGTAGGTCATATTTGGCCGGATGTTATATTTTACTGTTTTGTATATATCGTATTACGAAGTGTATATAACATGTGACACTTTAATAAACAATATTCTCTCTCTCTCTCTCTCTCATTAAAGTCCGATCACGTATACATGATGCAGAATATGCAAGCTCACTTATTTATTGGGCAGATTTAAAACTAACAGATCGTAGCGCTGAGGCTGATAAAAGACATGTACTAGTAACATCTAGGGGCATCTATATAGAAATGCGTAGTCACTTCATCGTGTTTCAGAAATCGGACAGTTTCAATGGAAATTGCAATGATTTGGAAGGCCTCCACAAAATCTCAAAAATGTGTAACGTATGTCCCCAAATAATAATAAATACGTCTATTGGAGGAAACATATATTGAACCAAATCGATATTATATTTATTCATGATCTTGAAGAGCCATGGACACTGTATGTCATACATGCCACGATAGTTACCACTGTCTGTCATACACGACACCATAGTTACCACTGTCTGTCATACACGACACTATAGTTACCATTGTCTGTCATACACGACACTATAGTTACCACTGTCTGTTACACACAACACGATAGTTACCACTGTCGGTCACACACGACACTATAGTTACCACTGTCTGTTAGACACGACACGATAGTTACCACTGTCTGTCATACACGACACGATAGTTACCACTGTCTGTCATACACGACACGATAGTTACCACTGTCTGTCATACACGACACTATAGTTACCACTGTCTGTCATACACGACAATATAGTTACCACTGTCTGTCAAACACGACACTATAGTTACCACGGTCTGTCAATCATGACACGATAGTTACCACTGTCTTTTACACACGACACGATAGTTACCATTGTCTGTCATACACGACACTATAGTTACCACTGTCTGTCATACACGACATGTTTATCGTGTCGGCCATTTTGACGTCTTGTACTTGATGTAAATATAATGTATTACGACGCTCTGTCATTGTGATTGACTTACTGAGGTTGTTCTTAACAGACAATTGTCAATTGCCTTTTCAGTCATATGCAACTCTTTTCAAAAACGCGAGAACGCGAGATTGCGACCCTTGACCAAGGTCGCGATCTCGCGTTCTCGTGCTTTTGTGCCAATTGGCTATGCAGTTATATGTAACTATTTTCAAAAACGCGAGAACGCGAGTTTGCGACACTTGATCAATGTCGCGATCTCGCGATCTCGCGTTTTTCGGCCAATTACCTGGACAGTCATCCAGTGGCTCAGTCGTCTGAGGCGTCGCAATTCGCTGTGTAGAGTTGCGTTTCTTGGGCGTGCCAGAAACCTATGTTGGTGAGTTTCGTCCCATTTGAAGCTGACAAGCCAGGGTATAACTGAAATATAAATACTGTTCAAAGCGGTGTTAAGCCAAACTCACTCACTTATTCAGAGCCTTGCCGGTCCCTGGATATTGGGGGTACTTTTCCAGTATAAGCATGTCTATCATGTGGATGTCAAGGCCGCAGTGAATTATTAGTTAGAGTTTGATTGAATTTTACAATACATGGGAGACGGAACGCATTTTACTTTTAACATTTTATTGTTTTCTTATCGAACTATTTAGGGCATCTGTGTACAATTGCTGTCGAAGGGTGCGATTCAGATGCATCATGCGTGTTCAGTAGGGCTACGTGTACGGAGTAGGAACACACATATTAGCGATATTTTATTTCTAGAAACTTTGAGGCAATAGAATAATGTAAGGCGGGATGTTTTGTAGTTTTGTAGGTGGAAAACGATGATAATCTATTAATTAAGTTTGTATGGCCTAAAGTTGCGACTATGGTGTCCTGTAAAAACATCGGACAATCTCATTTTAGCCGAATGCTACAAATTGGTCTTTGAGAATTCTGTTTTGATGAATATGCTAGCCGTGTATAATATTGCCTCACTGGCCTGTAACTGACAGTGCAGACGCGAATAGCTGCAATACTGCTGATGTAGCTTTAAGCAATATTTACTCTCTCACTGACAGTGATATATATTGTTTCCAGCTTCCTCACACTTTAATGTTTTCACTATCACTGGACATTCATGTACACAATTTCTTTTGTTAAATTATAATGAGCACGTTGGGGTTTTTGTTTTAAAGTACATTGGAAACTGAACCAAAGAGAAAGGACTCTACGATACATGGGACTTTGTGTTTGTAAATTACATGATAGCATTTTCAACCTCAAGTCATTAGTTTGCTAAATGCTGCTTGGAGAATGAAGAGCATGAAAGAAGCATGACCACCGGACTGCTAATGTGCGCATGCGCCTTGACCTCATGATATTACGCATGCGCACGGACAGCGTCTAGCACAAGGGAAAATTCCAATATATACAAAATATACAATTTTGTATATTTGGTATTTCCAAAATATACAATTTTGTATAGTTGGTATATCCAAAACTATACAATTTTGTATATATGGATAGATTTTATCTCTGCTTCATTGAATTCTTTGAGCTCGTAAGAGGTATTCTTGGGGTTTGAAAATACTACTAATGTTACCGAACAGTATTATTGCACGTGACAATAATACGTTAATACTATTTTCATTATGGCAACTATATTTGGAGTGTTATGAAATAATTTGTATTTCTTTATGTTGACAGCATTTTACATAAGAAATAGAACATTTGTGCAGATTTTAGTAACAGATAATGTAAATAATACTGCTGTCTTAATTAGATCGCGGTTTGAAAAAAGCACTGTTGGTATAACGAAGGCTGCCGCTGTTTTAACTAGGTCGGGGTTAGAAAAGCACTGTTTGTATAACGAAAGGCTGCCGCTGTTTTAACTAGGTCGGGGTTAGAAAAGCACTGTTTGTATAACGAAAGGCTACCGCTGTATAAACTTAATTGTGGTTAGAAAAGCACTGTTTGTATAACGAAAGGCTGTCGCTGTCTTAACTAGGTCGGGGTTAGAAAAGCACTGTTTGTATGGGGAAAGGCTGCCGCTGTCTTAACTAAATCGGGGTTAGAAAAAACACTGTTTGTATAGCGAATGGCTGACGCTGTCTTAAATAAATCGGGGTTAGAAAAGCACTGTTTGTATAACGAAAGGCTGTCGCTGTCTTAACTAGGTCGGGGTTAGAAAAGCAGTTTGTATGGGGAAAGGCTGCCGCTGTCTTAACTAAATCGGGGTTAGAAAGAGCACTGTATGTATAACGATAGGCTGCCGCTGTCTTAACTAGGTCGGGGTTAGAAAAGCACTGTTTGTATGGGGAAAGGCTGCCGCTGTCTTAACTAAATCGGGGTTAGAAAAACACACTGTTTGTATAGCGAATGGCTGACGCTGTCTTAAATAAATCGGGGTTAGAAAAGCACTGTTTGTATAACTAGAGGCTGTCAAGTTCAAGTTCAAGTTCTTTATTAACTCAAACCGCCGACCGGTGGTATATGAGCAACATAATAGCGTACATATATACAAAAATACAATGTGATCAAGTGGCAACAGTGCTTTACTTTAGTGCAGAAAGTAATATTTTTACAAATTTAGACAGTTTTTTAAGATTGTAAGTTCTCATATGTGACATCAAATGCTTAAAGGAAATAATGTTTGACCAGTTTAGATATCTACTATCAATTAATGTTTTTCTTTGCTGGTCAAAATATTCACATCTAAAGAGGTAGTGGAACTCGTCGGCTATGGCAGGGGAGGTACAAAGCTTACGTGTGCGATATTCGCGTGGGATGCCCTCCCAGCGGCCAGTCTCAATCTGTCTGTCTAAACTAGAATAACCAATAAACGGAATAGCAAGAGAGCAGCCTTTTAGCGATTGTCACGATCATTGCAAAACAATAGATAAAAAGTCCATGAATTTAAAATTGTACAAGGAAACATATATATAGGAAACACCTTGTTGGAATAAATTCCTATTATATTACGTTCGCGACATTAGTTCTGGAGTTTTGAAAGTAAAATTTATTATATATGTTTCTGTGATTTCATGTAATGGTGATTCTAAACATAAAATATTGGTTGATATTGTTTGACAAACAGTTGTACACACCGTCCATTGTGATACTTCTACTTAAGGATGTTTGTTTAGTCAATTGACATGCGTTCATTGTAAACAAGGATCATTAGTGTGAAAGGATTACTAAGTTTGTCATCCAGTATAATGCACTTCCACGATTAGCATAATTAGAACAGAGTCTGTAAGTAGTTACATCCGGACTCCAGTTAATCAAGGCAGCTACATCAGTTGAGAGTGTGAGCAACTAGAGAAGAGGCGAGCAACTCAATGTGATTTTTGAATTAAGTGGAATTTTAATAAATACGAACATTGAACACGCACAATCGCAGATTTCCATCGTACATTTGAGGGTGAACGTGAACGAAGCCGTGCAGGATGCCTAACAGCGTTTTGTCTTCAGAACACACAGTGAGCTCAGGTGAGTTTATTAATGATGATATTTTCATTCATTCATAGATATGGCGATCATGAGCGCTGACACTATATATGGTCGCAATAGAACATTTGGAAGACTAGACACACATTGATTCACTATATGACAACATCAAATCCAGTATTTGTTTAATCAAACAGGTTTAAAGCATTCAAAATTGTGCATTATTATAAAATACAATGTGTGTCGCTTCGTCTGCCATGTCAAATACATTAATGATTTGTTTTAAGTCATAATTTAATATTATGACTTTTACATTATTACTAAAATTATGGAGTCTTGCATGTCGAGCCAACAAAATATTGTACATATTATTCACATTGGAATTTCTGTTTACTGTGTTTGTGATGGGGTCCAGACAATTCCCCAAATGGACAAGTCAAAATACTACTGCGTAAAATATTAATGCTGATTTGGAGAAAATTACCAAATGGATGAAAGCAAGTAAAATTGAATCCAGAGAAAACAGAAACCATTCTATATCACGTTTCACTATTTCAAAGTAAAGTCTTCCCAAGTCCAAAACCTAATCTAAAAATGAAAGGAATTAATATTTATGACTTTGGGAATAATATTTCAGTCAGATTCTGATATTGACGATGGAGTTAAAAAGGAAATCCCTATGATAAATTGCCTTAGAAGTCTTAGATACCTTTCTGGTGTCCACCACCGTGAACCATACTCACTCACTCAGTTAAATAACTCATTTCACATAAATCGTTAGAAGTTATGAACAAGCATATAATGCCCATATTTGGGATAATTGTACCGAGAACAAGAATTAATCCTAGAATGTTTACACTAAGATTCATTTCGGACGCTGAAATAATGCCGATGAGACGTTAAATTTTAACTCACTCACTCAATACGGACTATACGGACTATTTGTGGGGCGATAAGGGGTACAGGCCACGAGAAAATTTATAGAGAAACTAACACAGTCATTACACCTTTTTACAAGATGGAAAACATCTTTGCTGTTAGTAATTATATTTATAGAAATCGAACCAATATACAGGCTATATGTTGTAGAACAGAATGCTATGCCAAGTTATTCGTACCTGATACCATTTATAATTGGAATAGTCGTCTGATATAGAGGATTATTAAACTTGGACAGTGTTACTTATATTATAAACAGTTAAGCCATGATACCAGATTTTGTCACATAATCCTTTATCGCCTCGGACTCGGTTGTAGTGATTTAAACTTCCAATGGCTTATAAGACAATATATTAAGAAACGATTCGCCTTTCTATTCTAAAGGCTAAGTGAGTTTATAATCAGTGGTTTATGGGAAACAATTTGTCAATTTAGCTATTTTGAAATCAGTCCATGTACATTCTATGTTCGGGTGAATTTGCACTAATGTTATAACTTAAAAATTAATTCATATTTAAGACACGTATTAAGTATTAAACAGTTAAATAGCTTTTCTTAGTAATTGAACACCTTTCCATCGCCCGCACAAACTGTTGACCAATCGTTTTTGTTCTGTTTTAATGTATATATGTATTATTTAATACAATTTGTATATAGGAAGCTTGGTGGGGACTTTTGGGATATAAGAAATGAATACAGACTGCCATATTGTCTGAATGTCTTAACAATCTCCGGGTGTGACCATGTAGACAGGATATTATCCGGGTTTCTGATAATTACTCCATGAGCATACTGGGTATTGGTGCTTGGGGATATTAAATGTAACAGTTTGTTATCAGAGGAGATTGATAGTGAACTTTTAGTACCAGTTAGATATGATATCTATATGACTTCTTTCTGTTTGACAAAGGATATATAAGGGTTTATGTGTGGGAAATCCTTTCACACTGATGGACGAAAGTCACTCAACAAGTTCATGTATTCTACGTCAAATAAGATCAGAACACGTGTATACATCCTCAGGATACCAATAACAACGAAATGTACAAATTAACAAACATGACCAACATTATTATTTCAGGATAATGTAGGT